TACCTATTATATCTATTATAAAAATGGTCCATCAAGTGAGAGGCTAGCACCATCAGCGATTGATGAAAAGGAAAATAAGCGCCTTGCGAAAACTAACCAGCTTGTAAAGAAGGGCGGCTGGAACAACTCTTCAAAATGTTTGCTTGGCGAGGAGATTATAACATAACTATTGCAACTGAAGTGAAAAGGTTCTACTTCAATATAAGGTAAGAATAAAAGACACTAAGCGCGAGGTAAAATATTTAACGCTTAAAATAAAAAAAAGCCAGTCAGGTCATTCGCTGAATATATCATATTCGCAACGTAAGTTTTGAAGGGATAAACAGTGATACAGACACTTTATTTTCACTCCTTTCAAATGAAGTAGATTTTAATTTCTGCTCATGTGTTTGTTTTAATTAGGAATTATGCCACTAGTGGTTTGGTTCTATTAGAGTGCCGTCGACATTCTTCTTGTCAGACAGTTGTGGTCTGACTTCCTCGCGATCTTTTGCAAGCAAATTCCGAAGTCCAGTTCACTAAGCGTCAGGCTCGTCTACTTTCTTGTATGGAGCTTAGTTTGTTTTGATCAGAACTGTGAAAGGCAGTTCCATAAGGTATACCAAAGATGTTTTCGGTCAAGACTTCTATTGTTGTAATACTTCTGGTGTGGTTCTGTTTAATCTCTGACTAAGAATGATTAATAAAATAGGACTGTGTTTAAGACAGTACAAACAGAAACCATCCAATCTCTGCACATCGTACCGACATACCCCACATTAACATGTTTGTTGTTATCGTAAGAGAGGTTATTGATCATCGTGGTGGTAAGTAACAACAAACTGTTTAATCGTTTGTCTCACGATGTTGTCACACGAGATGTAGATCGTGACGTTTCGACTGCTTCCTGCTAATCTTCATCAGGCGATGGGGTCGACTGCTCAAGCGTTACCATTTGTATCAATGCGGATCGAAATCCGCCAATCGCATTAGATTACCGTGATACAAATGGTAAGGAGTCAACCCCATCGCTTGATGAAAACTGGCAGTAAGCAGTCGAAACGTTGCGATCTACATCTCTAGTGACTACATCATAATACAAACGATTAAACAGTGTCTCATGTCTGTTCTTACCTTCGAACGGCAAATCATTTCTCTAACACACTGTGATGTTGTGTCCTACCGCTCAAAGGCTAATACATACGATTCAAACTGCAGTAAGGGCTCACAGACGCCGTTTTTTCTGCCTAAAATGCTTGGGTAACTGCGTGGTGCAAATGTTAGTGAAGTCTAGAAAATATTACACAAAGAAAAAAACTATGAAAATAAATCTAGACCAGCGTGGATCTGATTATTAAGTTTTTTAGGTGCCCTTACAATTGAAACGGTCGAGCGCATTCTCATAGATACGAACCGCTTATGGATCGATTATTAGTGCTTCGGGAAAATGACTTGCGTACCGAGTAGTGAAGTTTAGATCGGACAATGGCGTGTTAGAGCGTTGTGTGACTTAAAAGTCTCCCATACTTTCAAATGGGGAACTGAGCTGCCAAAGGAGGCAATGGTATCAAATTAGTTAAATCATGTTGTCGCCACTGAACATTGATATTTTGTTTGTTTGATTGTTTTTGTTTTATTTTTGTTTTCTAATATTTTATCTTGTTTGCAAGCATTGCGTGCCATTGAATTAGTGCCATTGGGGTCGTATGATTTTACGTGACCTCGTGGTTAAGAAAAATTAATAAATGGTTGAGCTGTGAAACACAATACTTATCTTTGTGGTGGAAGCGTTTTAGACGGCACTTGTGCTTGCTTTGATGAAATTGTGGGATTTGTTTTTATTACTCATTACGACAGCTGATAAATATTAGAAATTAAGAACGAAAAATTTATTTCACTGAACACGCACTTTCCAACCTTCATTATCCGCCCTGTTTTATAACGAATATGATTCCAAGAAATAACATATATCCTTATCCTCTCTAGCTGTACCGGAGTTAACGGGAATTATTCGAAAAACGGGCGTATTTTTCTTTCATACAAATGATATATGTACTATATAACATATGTCGTATGTCGTTGTGCTCTGAATGAAATGTTATCAATGATAAAACTCGAGTGCAACATAAATATCACGCTAAGCTTGTTAGAGTTCTCACTCGAATGATGGCTCAAGTCATCAAGAGGTGTAAATTGATGAAAATCATACATTTACACTGCAGTTGAAGAAACGAACATAGAAGCGATCCTCGCAGCCGTGGACACTATCCTGAACTTGTAGTTGAAATAAGGTCTGAAAAAAACCATGACCTCTGCGATACCGGTGCAGCTAACAAGCCAACTGGGAGCTGATTATTACGTTGGATCCAAATAAACCTTCCAAATAGTGAATGGCTGTAAATATATGAAAATCTTTTATGTGCACTGCGGTTGAAGAAACGAATATAGAGGCGGTCCTCGCAGCTATCAACACTACGGAACTAGTTATTTCAATTACTAATTAATGGCTAATGTTAAATTAAAACACTCTTCACGGTTCTCCTCGTTTTGTTTTTATTTTTTTATTAATTGAATTAATTCTTAATTTGAAACAAACGGCTCAAAAAAAAGCGATTACACTGAGAATTTTGTGTTCCGACCTGAACATGAAAGTTTTTATTTATAATAAAAGAAATCAAAGCAAAGTGAAAACACGTCCTGATTCCAAAACATGAAAGCTTATTTCAATAAAATATTAAAATAGGATTTAACGGGCACATTCTTACATCTGTTGAAAATAAATTTTGATAAAAGCACGCGTTCTATTAACAATGGAAAACTTACGAAAAGCATCTTTAAACGGCAAATAAAAAGAATTACCACGCTGTCAATGGCAATATGATTATTCTAGAGCTTAGAAGTCGACATAATCTTTTAAAGCGTGAAGTCATTTCACAACTCTCGATGTTTGATTAAGGTTCTTCGAGACAAGAATTACTTTTAAATAACCCTCTCTTTCACAGTGGGCGCTTAGAGCACAAACTGAATTATAATTTGGACCTTTTGGCAATGGCGAATAAAAGTCAAGATAAAAATTTTTCAAAGATTTTTTTCCGATGTATTTTAGTCAGAAATCCTTGCACGTTTCTCAGGTTTGTTCCAAACGCCTTTCGAAGTAAAAGGACTTAGTATAAAACTTGATCTTGAGATGTATAAGTTTAAAACATTTCTTTCGTTTAAGGATGAACAAAGTTAAGAGACGGTAAATTAATTCGCTGGTATACGAAACTCGGAAGGAAAAGTTTATGTTTTATGATCAAAGGTGTGAATTTCACGATATTCCCACCAAAGCCCAAAGTACATGGAAGATTCAGCTTCACTTACGCTGTAATTACCTTTTTAGCTAGATCAAATTTAATGGGCAACAAACAATGCCGTTAAAATTGTTGCAGCCTTTTCAGGAAAATTTTCTTCCACACAGTATGGGGGAGTAATTGAAGTTAAGTGGTTTAGTTCAAACATACATTCCTTTTGATCGATGAAAGTGAAGCGTTTTCAGTTCAGTTATAGCGAAACTGAATTTTTCGATGGTTTTCTTCTCTCTAAAAGCAATTTGAATCTTGCAGGCACCGGTTAAAATCAGCAACAACTATCGCAGACGATAAAATCTCTAAAATCCGCACTTCGAAATAAAACCAGAAACCCAAATCAAGTACTTTACAAAATCTGCTTAGCTTTGTCCGAATCACTGTCCTCTTGACCGTGTTTTTTGAATGTTTGAGTTATTTTCACTCATCCTCACTCCTCCACCCATGTCTAAACATGCTTTCCAGCGATACGCCCTGGTGTCGTTTTTGCAGCCTTTTTGAAAAGAAGATCCCAATCATCTGATGGCATGGTCGAGTTGCAGATGTTCTTTCTGTGCGTTCTACGCCTCTGGCGTTTTTTTCGTTAAAAAGCGTCTATATTAAGGCATTCTATAATTCATCATAACACTGTTCACACGTTGAGTCGAAATAGATTGAAAATCCTTCTCGAGTATCGATCGAGCCGGGAATCTAATTCTTAAAAGAAGATGAAAACCACGACATTACTTCTATTTGTAGTAATTGCTCTGGCTTATAACTTGGCTAATGCCAACAGTGTTGGAGAAATCTCCGAAAAAGAAGGTAATACCCCTTTTTCTTTTTCAATGCACTTTTCAAGCCTCATCTACATCGAAATAGATGCAACTTGAGGCCGGTAAGACGGTCTGTTTTTAGAGTAATACTCGTTAATATAACCAACAGCTGAACAATTGAAACTCGAGATTAAATTCTCCTTTTTCTCTGACATGGAAGTAGACTGGCGAAATTAATTTGGATAAGGACAAGGGCTTTTAACTGATATTTATTTTCACGCTGCTTCTCGAGACCCATATATGTCATTTATATATAAAAGATGCTATGTCAGGATGGAACGTTGCTTTTTCTTACAAGTAAATTGCACATAGAATTTAAGAGGTATGGAGACATTCCCGACAGTTCATCTAGGAGCAAAATATAAATAACGAAAATGTGACGAAAACTGAGTACTCTTCTCTCTGCTTTTAAATGACGCTTGTCGGTTTAGTCGCGATGTCAGACATTTTTCAAACAGAAATCAAATATAAGAAGCAGCCACCTGCCCCATGTTATTCGAGTAAGATAATCGTGCTCTTAAGAAAAAAAACTATAAGTTTTTCCGGTGATAACTGTGACATTAGTAAAGTCACATGCCTGAATTGCATTTTGGTATTTTATTTCCACGAGAAGTATCACGCATGCTTCGATTTCGAGGGCTGTTCTGGATTCCTTTTAGAATCCCACTGGGCTACAGTTTTTAAGAAAGAATGTGAGCCACAGTTTAAAAAAATCAGTTACGTTTTCACGAATTACTCAGACCAGAGCTTTCGAATTAAGTCAGCGCTGTCCTTAGTACAAGTTGAAGTTTATTGGCAGGGAGCGAAGAATAATAAACGCACGCCAGTGGTATTTTTTCTCTATGTCGTATTGTTCATTTAGGTCACTTCAATTTGATCGTCCAACTCGCCGTCGAATCGCAGTTTGCAGTTATTGATATAAAATTACAAAAAACCAATTAAGTTATGGATGTAATGCTTGGGTAGTTTGTTTGATTTTATTCTTATCATTCGTTAATCATGGAATTCACTGGATAGTCTCAGGTTCTCAGGATCTCAGTTATTTTAAACATTTTCTTTGTTGCCACAATGCAAAATGATTTTGTATTTCAACGATAACTACTTAGGCTTGGGCTTTAAAATTTGTTGAAAAATGGAAGTGCCCTCCTCTTAGGGTTTTTATTTATGTTTTGACCCACTCGTCATTACACCGCCTATAAGCTCATTTTACGATGAATCATTGTACAAAATCCCCCTGTACATTGAGGAAACAAAGAACTCCCACCCTCTAATTGCTACAAAATATCCTGGATTACCAATTTTTTTCCCACAAACTATCTCAACCAAACCCTCTACGTAAATATTAAATGAAGACAGAAAAATAATAAAAAAAAAACAAGAAACTAACAAAAAAACTGGAGCTCTGCTTTTAGGCTTGATTAAATCGTGATACTACTTTTTGTCATCTAACAAACCTTTTATATAGAAATAAATAAAAGGAACTGTTCAAATATTAGAAAAAAAAGAACTAGTAAAGCATCCAAATGGAAAACTTATAAAAGAACGCTCGTTATCTGACCACTATATGAACGAAGGCTAAATTTCAAATTCGATCTATTTTTTTTCTTTTACTTTATACAAGTGCGTTTGTAAGTGACTCTAAAACTGCTAAACTTGTTGCCTAACAGATTATGGCTCTCAAACTTCGATGCGACTTCGCGTCTGCTTCTTGCTGAGTCGCTCACCTTCGTCCGGTGTTCATATTCAAATTTAATTACATTATATCTGCAACAACTGGTAGCTCGCAGTCGACCAATGTGTCATACATTTCTCCAACACTCAGGTGGCGATGCTTTGCCACAGCGCCAAGAACAACGTCAGAAGGATTCACAACTCTCTCATCTAAAAAGCACATCTCGATTTGGGAGAAACCCAGTCGATCTGCCAACAGTTTCCACCTCCCTCGAACTACGTATGAAAACATATTATGCTCTTTTATAAATTGTGTTACAAAAAGGAAAAACAGATTTTAACCTCAAACCAAACTCTCTTGTAGACCGCATGGTCAAATGGAATAAATTGCAGACATTTTCTTGGGGCCCAATATCCACCAAATTCGTCTAAATTATCGTCATATCATTCTTCTTGAAGGGTTTCGACGGAAGCTGACAAAATTTACTCACTATGAACTAATCTTGCAGCAATATGACCTGAAAACGCATCTGCAAAATCGAATCTTTTCAAGGCCCGCCTTTTTTCGAGAGTCTTTTTCAGAGTCAAGAGACGACATCCTATTTGTTCAATCAAAGGTTACAACTATTATATGAATAAATGGGCGCGCAGACGCCAACCTAATTCCCTACCCGAGAGGCTGAACGTCAAATCCTTGTATTGCTTATGTGGCAGGCAACCAACTGACATATCCTCATTCAACAACGGCCCTGTGCAGACAATCAAACACAAAAAGCAAAAAGAAGATAAACATAGCAGAATTTATTTCAAAAACATAAAACCAAACCAAAAAATAATAATAACATATATATATATATAAGAAAAAGACTAATAAACTATCAGTTCATTCCTACAGACCTGTTTCGTGGTTGCCCACTGGTAGTTTATTTGTCTTTTTCCTCCCACAATATATACATCGCTCTACTCCTATGTATTGAGCACTGTCTTACGTAAGTCAAATTACTCTTTATATTTATATATATATATATATATATATATATATATATATATGTTAAGGCATATCAAAAGGGCATCAACAACAAAAACTTCCACACAATAAAATCAAGCAAGCGTTGACATTATCTTAATGTGGCATTGAGAGGACGCTTATGTAAAGACCTATTCCCTACCCCCCGAGCGAGAAAATCTCATCTTCTCAAACTCACCAGTAGTACTAGCAGGGGTAATTTCTCGTAAGTGTCTCACCAAATCATCCCGTTTCTCAGATTTAGCTCTCAAGGCGAGGCCACGAATCATACTTTTCGTCTCAGGCTCTGGACTAACCAAAGATGTAGGTTCCAATTGCAGAGCTTCTTGAAATTTAATCACAATATCCTTAACATCACTTGCTGAGTTGAGTGGAATGGACTGGATGGAAGTTTTGATACTCTCGGGCAGCGCAAGATCTTTCCGTTTCGTTCCTTGAAAATGATTTAGAACGAATTGAAATAACGAAAAACGAAATTAAATGCAATAAGAAAGAGTTAAGTAGACGGAATGTATTTTGTTAACGCCCAAATATTTTGAGTTGGTTAAAAGTCTGTTCCAGGAGAAACAATAGCATGCAAATTGCTCCATTAATTATACGAGAAGGGATCTTGTTAGCTCTTTCTTTAAGTACGACATTGTAATTATGATATAATGTCGTGAAAAATAGGGACCTTTACCTTCTATGGAAAATATACCTTTCACACCGAGGGAGTCTCCATGACTTGTTGCGTGAAGAGCTTGCAGTTGCTAAAAAAAAAAAAAACAAAGTAGATCCACTTTCAAACCATTTTAAAAAAATGTCGTTGAACTTAAAAAGTATCAGCGTCTTATCAACCCAGAGGAAGAGGATGGGACTGGCAAAGTACCTGATTCGTTGACAATCCAGCACCTTCCTCTTCTTCACCAAATAAGAACCAACATTCAAACTGCTTGACCCGAATCCTGCGATCCCCAAGAAGGCTGCGTCCTGGTCTGTCACAATGTCGACGCTTTCTCAAATCAGATTCTGACAGGAAGTGTAAACACTCACATCCACGCACGTCATGATCGCGGCATTTCCCCGACCCTGGTCGAGAACAGACTGGGCAGCAGACACACATATCGTACTTTACGTTGCTGAGCCAGTGAAACTCTTTCCACATGCATTCGAGGATAAACCTCAATTGCCAGCGAACAGCACGGGATATATCGGCTATTTTCTCGTCATTGTCTCCGCTGCAAACGGCGACCTCAATAACTGAGGAATGGCACCAAAAAATGACGGAGATACCTTGGTCTGGAAGAATGTAAAACATGGCAAAATTATGAAACAACTGTGGGCTCACTTTGCACTTCCATTCTTCTACACACCACTGGAGGAAATGCAAGATGAGTCGGGAGAATAGACCAGGAGGCACTCGACCAGATGCAAACGTTAAAAAAAGAGATGGAGCGTTTACAGAGTCGAGAAGCTGTAGAACGTCATCTGTTGGGGGTGACATCAACATGGACGGTACAAGGTACTGCTTGCTATCTTTAGATGAAGACCAGGGGGAAATTAAGCTTAATCTCTCCATGATGGCAATGAGGCTCTCGTGACATCCTTGGTCGTCGAGCAAGTCTTTCCAAGCATGGTCAATGAGCTTTTTATCCAAGATTCCGGTTTCTTCAAGTCGCATCCATAGGTCTTTAACAGGATGCTCCGTGTGTTTAAAAGGCCTTACGGTGATTACGCTTTTGAGGACATCAACAAGCCACTGATGATCTAATATCACCATCCTTTCCAACTCTGGAGAGCCACTAAAATGAATCACAATTCTCTGATCATGCAAAAAATTCAACAAAGTGGAAAATTCCTCATCTTCTTGGATTCCACAGGCTTCAAATGCAATCCTCTTGGCTTCTTCAAATGTTATCCACTTATCACGCTTTTCGCGAAGCTTGTTTTCATACCTCAACCACTTCACTGGAATTTCTTCTTTCGTCAGTTGCATTTCCCTTGCAACAGCAAGTACCTCTTCTCTCAGTCGCGTAACTTCAATACATTCTTCTTCACTCCCAGACTTTGTATTATCCACGACGAAAACATCTTTATACAGATGTTCCTTGTAGGTCTTCCGCTGCAAAAAGCCATAAGTTTTTAAAGCAAGGTCTCTGGCGTTAGATCCACCAAACGGCACGTCAGCATGGGTGCATACCAGGAATACTGGGGGAAGCCTCCGTGGCACAACATTCGGAGCGGTCTCTTGAGAGCTTAGAACTTCTGGACTCACCAAGGAATAAATTGATGACATCCAAAAGTCCAGATAATCAAGATTTGTTTTATTGCAGTCAATGTCCACTTTTCTCTCAAAAAGTCCTGTTTTGATAGGCGGGTTGGCTTTCTCGTCTGGACCACGGCTCAAGTCAGATACCAAAATATAGATAGCTTTCTCTGTTAGGAAAATTGGATGGGTTTCGTAGTACACTGACTGTCCACCAAAGTCCCACAGAACTGAGTAGATGCTGTCTTCGTGGTTTGCTTTTTCCTTTTCTTGAAGCATTTTTTCAACCAGCCTAGCGACTTCCTCGGGCAATTTTCTGTGTAAAGATTCGATATTTTTTGAAGGCTTAGTTGACTTATTACGAGAACTGCTTGTGCTTGATTCTTCCAGAGGCTCTAACGTTGACTCTGAACCTGACTCTGAATCTGACTTCGAATCTGACTCTAAACCAGACTCTGAATTTGACGCTAATCTAGAATGCAACTTTGGCCAAAACCGTGTAATATTTGCCCCTTGTTGCCTTAAAAATTCACTGATAACTTTTGCTGCTGCAAGATGTTCAAATTGAACTTCTGGCTCAAACTTTTCTTCTCCCTTCACTTTTCCGCTGTTCCAAATCTCTGTTGAGACTTTAAAGTACAAAGAGTCAGTGTCTATTCCGACTGTGCTTTCCTCTTTTTCATTGAAATGTTCTCCTTTTAAAGACTTTTTGAGACTAGTTTTTCCTGTCCGCTCCTGTCCGATCAACATTACTGGTATTCTCTTGATACAGGCCTTTCCTCCCGTTAAGGCTTTGTTATATGCCTTAACAGCTTCAGGACCTCGAGCAGAAATTTTCGAAGGGACTGAAGATGCAATTTTAAAATCATGCGTTAGCGGGTATAATAAATTGTGGCTGTTTCATGCAAGTTGAAGAGGGGTAGGTTGTCTTCAAAATATAGTGTTACTCTCTCTTCTGGTGTTATTAGCTCTCAGTCTTCAGAGAGTCATTTAATGAGATATTTCATTACTTGCAAATACCCAAAAATGGTTATTGGTGCACCATAGAGATACATATGTGTTAATAACCAAGCGTTCGCTTCATATTGACAACGGGCGCTCCCAGTATATAATTACTTTCAAGTCAGATTCTGCTGAAGTTAAGATACGACCTGATTTTGCTAAAAATACTTTTCAAATAATAACACTATTCAAATTCCCCCGGTAGAGAGTACGGCACACGGTATCGGGATGACATGTACACGATTCGGGGTATACGTTTGTAGTTACGTCAAGTAGTCCATTACAAAAGCTAACCATTTTTTTTCAAAGATGTTAGCCAGAAGCGATATTTCTTTTAGGTACATTGCTCATAAGAGACCCTTCTTTTTCTTTTTTGAATATAAGTTAACAGTGTATCGTCAGAAGATTTTGGGTTCTTCAAATTTCCACAGAAGAATGTATGGCACTCAGTGTCTGAATGATATGCCCATGATTTGGGGTATACGTATGTAGTTACATCGAGTAGTCCTTAAGAAAGCTGATCAATTTCTTCTTAAAAGATAACGGCCAGAAGCGATATTTCTCTTCGGGATATTGCTCATAAGAGACCCTTCTTTTAAAACCATATACTTTCCACGTGTTTGAAAATTTTCTGTTGAGAACATCAGATATAAACATCGCCAAAATGTGCAAAATCAGACTTTGAGCTTTCTTTGTAAATTAGCTCTTTGAAAAATAGAGGAAATTTCTACATATTTAGCGCATAGAATGTTATAACTAACTGGGCGCTTATTTAGTTTCAGTTACAGAATCAATGAGAATCGGTAAAGGGCCAGCCTGCTAACATCTTGACTTGGCGAACGGGACTTAGAGCGCGATGCCCGACGAGTTCGCAAAAGTATCTGAAATGTCTCTTAGCCGAGACGGAACGCCGCGTCATACCAGCCACGAATTTTTGACAATCGCGTTCAATGCAAAAAAATTTCCCTCTGCTCTCCGAAATAAAAGAGAAATCAGGAAATAACAAGCATTTTATGTTAGTTCTATTGTTTCCGAAATTGTAAGCTCTGAGGCAAACCGATTTTCCCCGCAATTGTTTTACGGCCCGCTGGCAGAAATATTTTTCTCACTTCTCTGACGAATTTATAGACCTTATTTGTCGGAGCTAGAGATCGGAACTAAATTACAAGCTGCTAACCTAGCTCCGTTTAGCCAACCAGATAGTTACAAATTCAACAACCGTGCTCCTGTTTTTATTTACTGGATACATAGGCTCTATCTAAAGAAACACACATATCCACCTGACGGTGTAGTTCATATTGTAAATATTGAAACACTGCCCGAAGAAAATTACTAAACCGAAGGCAAACAACTTTCTCAGGTTAGGTATGCAAAATCATATCATTTCTAAACCAATATCGCTGAAAATACTCATGCAGAGGAAAACAAGGATTTTCGCATGATATGTACGTTTAGAGTAAGGCACCACGCACCCTCTATAAAAGAACGAGCATTAATGGCGGCGATTTGTTTTTTTTCCGGAGAAATAACAGGGAGAGTGCAATGAATAATAATATTTTTTTAAGAAAAAACGAAATATCTACCGATACTGAACTGCATCATTTAAATAATATGCATAAATCTACGAGCCTACAAAACCCCTCAAAGGCAAATGAACGACTAAGATTTTGTATTTGAACTGAGTTTGATGTTGTTGCTCTCCTATTCAAGTAGCTTCTTCACAAATACTCTTTAACCTCTAATATACATATCCACTGTGTAGTGTAAACATGAATATTGACAGACAGTAAGAGGAAAATTACCAAACCAATAATAAACAATTTACCTCTCCTGAACTCTAGAATGAAAACAAAATAAATGAACCAGGACATGTATGCAATATCATCTGATAAATCTGGAAATACCGAAGGCATGAAAATACGTACTTTAGAAGAAGGTTCCGTAGCCCTTTTATAAAAGGGCGAGCATTGATAACATTCGTTTGCTTTTTTTTTTTTGGGAGAAATAACATCCAGGACGCGATGAATAATACTTTCTTTAGGCAAAAACGAAATCCTTTCAGAAATTGAACTCTTTAGCTTTCAAAATTTTTTGTAATGTATAAATCTTTGAGTGTTAGAAACCCACAAGAGCGATATTGATATTGTTTAATGTTATTGTTGCTAGCAAAAGCAACAACAACAGCGCTGTTGTCGTTGTTGCTTTTCCTCATGAGGTTGCTTGTTCACATATTTTCTTTATCCTCTGAAATGATAGTCCAAAGAGCACGGAAAATTCGAGCTTCGAATACCAAAACAAGACAAAAATAATATAAAACAAAACAAATTGCTGTTAACAGGCCAGTATTTTCGTTTGTTTTTCTCCCATGGATGCATCTCATAAGTTAGCTCCAGTTTCAATGTCGAATTTCTAATTTGACGGATCAAATTTCCTATTACGTACATTACAAGTACGATAGGATTCATTTCTTCTTCCAAAAAATTTGCTGAGAAAGGAGGAATAAGATGAAAACGCATGTGTCGTTGATAAAAGTTTTATCCGTTTAAACAAACATCCCGAAATATTCCCGACGAAAAGCGAAACATATGGAAATTTCCCTCTGTTCTCGAAAATGAAAATAAAATAGGAAATAACTATGAAAAATCATCTCCGCCATCTTCAGATTATGCTAAGAATACTCCCACAAACAAGTTTTAAAGAAAAGCTTTGTTCTTTTGGCTTTGTGGAAGGAGCTATGCTATAGCTTTTATCGATATCCTCTCTAGAGCGAGACTTAAAAACAGTACCACCAAAATATGGTTTTGACCTCGTTTCGACTAATTTGCTACTAAAAGTAAGAAAGCAAACTTGTCTACTATGTTTTTCCACAACAGAACAAATAACCGATAGTACCACGGAACGTTGTTGATCCATTCGCACCTTTTTCGAACTCTGATAAGAATGCTAGAATAATAATGTATGTGGTAACTTGTCTCATTCTCTTATTTAAAATGCTCACTGATAGTTGGAAGGAATTAGGCCATGTATCAACAATAAGGCATTGATATCTCTTACAAAAGAAACATGCAGCAAAGTCAGTCTTTCTCCTCCAATAGCCTGACCATTTTTAAGTCAACAACAAAATAGCCGTAACTTCTAGATTTTCATTCAAAATGTCCTCAGTGGTAATCCAGTCAGAAATAATTTCCAAGTTTCTTAATAATAGACGGTCAAGTTTGAGAATATAAATACTATCTTCGGAACTTATTTAGTCACTACACATGCGCAGATAATGGTCATAAGGGGGCATCAGACCAGAAATTGAAAACTACAAAGATTTAGTAAAAGCCAATTGCCGACGCTTTTTCTTCAGACGCTGCAAGGCAAGCAAAATAAGGATTATACTAAAGTAAGATATAAATCATCTCAATTCCTTACTGATTTTGATGAGAATATACTCGTGAATAAGAAAGCCTCACTGATTATTTATGTTTGAAAGATGATGGATCGTGGAAATAGCTTTTCGCTCTTGTTGGGTCTCTCGCAGAAATGATGGATTACTATGAATAAATCATGACATGTCTAGAAGTGAGGTATTGCTAAAAATTAAAAAAAGGGCTAATTTTGTCGCGCCAGCGACCATAATCAAAGTAACAACTAAGAATGCTCACCGATATTGCACACCAAAACGTCCAATAAGAATTTTTCCAATCAAAAGCTTTCCCTCGGAAAAAACTTCGAAAGTATTTCTTAGGAATTAAGGGCAACTTACGCGCAAAAAAATTTCGACACTTGCCTCGCAAATCTTTCTTATTTCTTTAAAATCCTTTATAAACAACCGTCAATAAGTTTGAGGTACCGTTGCAATTAAAATTGGTTGACGACTTAACGATGAAAAGTTCAGATGAATTTTGATGACATTCGGGAGAAACTGAGAACACTCAATCGATGTCGATTTCAATGGCTACGCACAACCTGATTTAATGGAGGAAAAATGGACTAATATGATTACTAATAGCTTTCATCGACACCCTTTTAAAGCAAAACCTAAGAAGATATGTTTTATAAACTCGGGCTTTGTGTTTCATCAGGGTCTCTAAACACGAGGAAGCTGATGAAGCAGCTGCGTGCTCCTATTGTATTCGAGTGTTTAGAAACCCTGATGAAACTCGAAGCTCAAGTTTATGAAATGGCTTCTCAAAAGGATCTAATTAATTAGCAATAAACTCAAAGCAAAACAAAGATCATGAGTGTATTTAGTTTTTGCTTTTTCGTCTTTAATGAAACGGTTAGATATCCTAACACGTATTTTTGGATATATAAAATATTTATATGAACCTAAACACAATCCCTATTGCTATTTTGAACAGCATTTGCTTATTCATTTGCCGTTAGCCGTCGTAAAAAACGCCATTTTCAACGTCGCTGTAAATTATGTAACATCGTCAATATATGAAACTTCTGGAGGAGCGGTGGACTTATGGTTGTTAGGGCGTTCGAGCCCTGGCCGGGGTCCTTGTGTTGTGTTCTTAGGCAAGACACTTTACTCTTACAGGGCTTCTCTTCATCCAGGTGTACAAATGGGTACCAGCAAATATGCTGGGGGTAACCCTGCGATAGACTAGGGGGAAGTAGCAATACTCCTAGCCGCTTCATGCTAAGGAAACCGGAGTTAATCGCCGGCCCCATGGGCCACTTGGGCCTGTATAAAGGATTTACATATGAAACTTGCTGATTAAGATTTATTTACTTCAGGAGACAGACAAACA